CTTCGGCGTACTTGGGCTTTGGGCTGATAAAAAAAAATCCCCCGCATCTTGTACGCGCGAAAATGAAATTGAGCTATGATTGAAAGCGACTTCAAAGACCGCCGATAATACCGCTGTGATACTGCAACGGTTAAGAGAAGACCGTGAAACGTGTTATCTAGTAAGGCCTAAGGAGGGATCGGTCAGGAGTCACGGTCGGCGGAATTTTTCGCGAAGCGATGCCGCGAGCGATGTCAGCACAACAGAAGCTAGCACTCCTGGCGCAGTCTTGCTTATGACATAAGCCATGTATCTGCCCCCACCCCCCACCCCCCCCCTAGACTGGCGCCGTGCCACTTTAGCACCGGGCGGTTCTGTGGGGTACAAGATTTAGACGCGACGTTCGCGGCGAAGCGGCGCGGCGCGCGGCGTGACTCCTGGCATGCGGGTGGGGGAACGAAAGCCGCCAGGTCCAGCCGCCTACGCGGACTGCTGGTCCTGGAACGACATGCAACAACGCTGCGAAAGGATCAGCTGGCCGCGAAAGGCGGCTGGACCTGGCGGTTTTCGTTCCCCCACCCCTGGCATGCATGAAATCGCCTGGCCTGTGTGATGAATCCAATTGCAAGGCATTACCCCAACAACCCAGTGATCAAAGATTTGGTCCTTCCCGTGCAGAACTAGAAGACTTCAAAGTCACTTACTCAAAAATGGTGCATTTTTGAAAGCAAAATATGGTCGATTTTCAAACTTTCTGGGAAAGTTTTTTTTTGCAGATGGTCCTTCAAAAACATGTATGGTCCCCATAACGCCCCAGGAATCTATATAACTACAGCTTCTATATAACTACAGCATGCTGGTGGATCGCAATGAGGCGCTGGAAAGCCAACAAGACAAACATTTGTTGTAGATGAAATTCTCTTTGCAAAGAAATTTGTAGCTCTGAGAAAGGATCAGTGTGCTTGAAGTTACAGCGATTTGAAAAATTTTTTCGCAAGTGCCCGAGAACTTTCTTTACGACCTAATAATAGAATCATTCGTGCTACTTGGGAAGGATCTTTGTACAAAAGAAAAATTCTCGATGGCATTAAGCGAGTTTGTGAGATATCACAGAGTTTCGATGCTAATGGGAATATATGAGTAAACAGACGCTTTTTCCGTGCTTGTTCTCATTCCTCTAGCGAATCTGATGACACACAGCAGTTGCTATGCAGCAGCTTTGACATCTGATTTTATGCCGCAACTGAATTCTTTCTCAAAAGCACTCTTTTTTTCTGACCTTTTATTAGTAGGATCTATGCCTCTGGCTCGAAAGCAGCCAGTTTTGCTTTGCTTGTATCGACAATTAAATTGTCATAGACAAGTTGTTCCCTCAGTTTAAACTGAACACTGACTTGATCAGTCTTTCTCAAACTGACAGGTTTACAAGCTTTTCGAACCTGCGAGATGTCATCACTTTCTAGCAAGTTTTAGATGCTTGTAAAGGTTACTGCAGAACGAAGGCGCAGAAGCAGGATAAGTTGAACGGGCAAGAACTCTGCGCGCGCGTATCTTCACCGTTGTAAACCCTGCGCTTCGTGCGCGTCTACGGCGCGTTCGCGCCCAAAGATGTTGCGCCTTCGTCATGCAGTAACCTATAAATAACAACCATATGTTTTCTGCAAAGCATGTAATGCGCCTATGGCGACGTGGAATGGAAAATCTGATCGGCTCAGATAAGTGAGAAAATACGGCAGTTCTTTTTTGGATCTGTCCCTCCGCATGGGAATCTGCAAAAGCGTGGCCATTAGACTAGCGGAAGCAGAGGTAGAGTTTGATACCTTTTTATTATAGTATTTCTCATTTTTCAGTCGATGTTCTTCGACCAGCATTTTGATTTTACCTTTGGCTTCAACAAGATACTGAGCATTCTAAAGATTTACAAAAAGAAATAGACAAAGTTGAGATGGAACGCCTTTCAGCGTAAATGTTCTTGTGGATATCCAATACGCTCAAACGCATCAGAGCTTCCACCTCTAAGTACTGGTATCGACGATTAACAGTCAAAACTCACTAAGTTGTCTCAGACATCAGCACTTTTCTTATCAGGATTTCTCGGATCACTAAGCACTTGCATGCCATCAGTCAAGTAAACGTGCGACAAACAATAAACATCAGCTTGATAAAGGCAGCGTCCAGGCAAGTCTGGACACATGGGGATCGCACGTGGATAGTAATTTTGAAGCCCTAACTAAGCCACGTCCAACCGGCAGCTCAGGTAGTGCTCTAATGGTTGAGATATTCCCTTCGAAACTGGACCCCGCGATCGTTCCGCATGGATTCATGGCGCAAAGCATGGATCCTGGCGCAGAACTGCCATGAATCGATGCCGATCGCGAGGTCGAGTTTCGGGGAAGATTTCGGCCGTTGGAGCACAGCACTACCTGCGCGCCCGCTTGGGCAGTGCCTTGGTTGGGGCCCCAGGGGTACTTTCCTCGTAAAATCCCCATAGGTCCAGATCTGCCTGGACGCTGCCTTTAAGAAGATGTACAGTAAGTTTCTACCATTAGGGGGGGGGATCAGATTCGGGCACCCGCATCGCAATGATTCGCACTGTTTCGCAGCTACAGCACCGAATCGTGTTTAAAATCCATGTCTGCAATCTCCACTCTCTTTAGTCTTGGCTTGGCAAAGCGTTGTGCGCTCGCAACAACTTCAACGGTGCGGATACGCTGCTCGTGAAATTTGTCGCCTACTTGGGTTGAAACAGACTCTAGATTGTAAGACAAACTACAATAGCGATTTCATATGTTTTGCATGTTCAAACTACCATTTTCGTGCCAACTCTTAGTTTTTAGCTGTGTGTAATCAAAGGCAGTGTCATCAAAACTTAGGCCTCGGATTTCCGCAAATTATCTTTGTATCCCTTCTCTGTGTACGGTGCAAACCCACAATTCCTCAAACCGCTTTTCGAAGGCTATGCAGAAACAACGCGAATAAAACTGTGCTCTGCTCCCGCCTCTGTCGCTATTCAACAACTTAGCATAAACATTGAATTGGCATAAATCTTGATAAACGTGATAATGCACGGTTTTTTGAAAGATTATCGTGGCGTGCCATTTCAAGGGCGATCAATACTGAGACTGTAAATCATTATGTTTATCCGAATCATCATACTCTATAATAAAGCGCAGGGGGGACCATGTGACTCATGCGTTTGTCGCTATGTCTCGAATGCACCCAATGCACCCAGGATGTCTGCCTTCCGAGATGTTGACTGGAACGCCCTTTCGTGCTCAACTCCATAAACAGTATTATCGATTAGCATTATTGTCACCAAGTAACAGCTCGCTTCATTTCAATTAGCGCATTAAGATGTGTCAACTTTGGTATCAGTTTATTTTAGTTGCCAATTTCTATAACTTAATTGTACAAAAGCACTGCTTTACAAAGTTGTAAGTGGTGCAACAGAAATCCCAGATGTGATTTTCCCTCATGAAAGTTCTCGATTTTGATACACCAACGGCCGTATTTTTAGCATTTGTTTAACATTTCATATTTGAGCAAAATAGTGGGATTCTGGCCGCATTGTAACTAAAGGGAGTGTGACAGGCTAGAAAGGCTTTCAAGGAAGGAAAATGGGGGAAAATTGAAATTTGGCAGATGAAGTTTCGTGAATGGAAGTTAAATCGTAAGCACTTACATAAAGAGTCTGAGGAAAGGAGGCGGGGTAGGATGGAATTTTACTTATTGACTTTGAGATTAAGCGTAGAATCCCAATAGTAGGAGTCGAACTTTATTCGAAAACTTGGTAAAGGATGTTTGAGCAGTAGGTGCGATGTGAGAGGGAAGAAGAGGGAAATGCGGTCTCTCCTCATGAGGAATTACCGCAGGTGGAGCTTTTGGTAGAGTAGCCTGCACCTTAGCCAGCAAATTCTGTGGAGTACTGTATAAAAAGCTGAATTTTGGCGAAAAGCGTAGGCATACTTTCGATAAGCAACTTTGAGGTTACGCATTGTGATGGCAGCGTCAGTAGAAGGAGAACCCGAAAAGTAAGACAATAATTGTAGAAATATTCAAAGAGTTTCTACTTAGAAAAAGTTTTAGAAGATAATAAATTTCTTCTAGAAAACTCTATTGGAAACTGTTTAATTATTTCGTTCGTAATCTTCCCCCTCTATTCTCCGTAGGTAGGTAACTAATGGGGAAGAGGCTGGGGGCAGGGAAAGAGAAAAGCAAAATCCGCTTAAAACTTCAAACGCAGGAAAATTGCACACATGAAAGTGATATTTACGTTGTTCTGTACCAGTAGGGTGCGGGGAGCTGGGGAGAGGGGAGGAAGGGGGGAGGGGGAGGGAGGAGAGAGGAATGTACTTGGCATGAACAGAAAAAGCCGGGAGTGGAGTCAAGCAAGTTAGTGGCACGCTTCCGGAAAAGTTCTAGCATTGAGAGGATTTTGATGAAGCTAACGCAGCATGTGGCGTGCAGCTATTTGAGTCCAAGTCTGTTAAGGACTGTTGGAGTTTCTTATGAGCTAAAGAGCTAGGGGCTAACTTACCACTCTTCAGTGCTTTCTACATAAAAATTTTGCGTGCTTGAAAGGCATTATGCTACATGGGGTTTGTATTCTGTACCGGTAGGGTGCGGGGGGCTGGGAGGGGCCGGAGAGGGGGGGGGATGGGACGAGGGTAGGGGTGGGGAAGAGAGGGAGAGGAAGGTACTATGACACGGATATAAAAGCCCTGGAGTGGATTCAAGCATTTAGTGGCACTTAATCCGAGTTAAGAAGATTGTAGCTCTACACGTATATACCTAAAGTTTTTATGCTATACTATTGGCTACGAAAAGATTTGAAGACAAAACTTCACAAGTTCTAGCCTTTGAACACTTCTCACTCCACACGCACAGCCAGTTCAAAGCGCCGCGAAGCGGCGCTTTGAACTGGTGCCCAATAAAGGACGTCCAAGTACAGCAGGTTCAATGGAAAGCTCTACAAATTCTTCACAATTCCTTATTCTAAAGCAACATGATTCAATTAACAACTACAAATTCTTCACAATTCCTTATTCTAAAGCAACATGATTCAATTAACAAATATTCGAATAAGCACAAGCAGCGGACTAAACCTAACTCCATATGTTCACCAAGAAAGAAGGATAGGGTATTGCCATATTACACTGCAAAGATAGTAAAGCAAATCGGCTATTGATATCATTTATGGAGCTACTGAAAAGGAAAAAACTAATAGTCTGCTTGCGAATAGCAAGACGTCGCAACCAATGTTTCGGTTTCTAGATTTGCCAAGATCAGCAGGCATTCTTCTGGATTTTGATGAGGTGTGCAATATATCTTTTGGTTATTTCATCTTGATCCTCATAGGAGCCAAGATTGGAAAATCGATGTGGTATGCCAAGACTGATGAACTCGTCGTCTTTATCGACAGATTCACTGCCATGCATTTTCTGAAACAAACAATTTTAGACAGTAAAAAAACTACTTACACTATGATCATACTGCTGTTAGTCCTCAATATGTAATGTCATGATTTTTTTAGGGTTAGCAAACTTTGCTGACAATCTGGGACGCTTACACAGTAATCGCAGCCATCTAATACTATCCACATCTCAAAGAAAAAATCTTCCAAAAGTGAAGTGTCATTATTTCAGTGGTGTATGGTTATGTATCAATTATCAACGAGTATTCTCGACCTGGGTGACTTTATGCGTTATTTTTTCTTCTACAGCGAAAGTGAGGGTAGATCTACAATGACCGCTTTCAACTTTTTGAATTGCTCTTACTCATTTCAGCGCATTTAAAAACGTCTTGTTTGTTTTTATCTTCACTTTAACCATCAAGACTTCGGTTATTGGTGCTCAGTTTGATGATCATTTCGAAAAATGCATGAGAAGCTGACCTACGAGATATATCACGACAAAATTCTTCAAGAAAAATGAATTAGGAAGCAAAAGTCTCTTGACATACTTATCCAACACTGCAGATCAGAAGTTCTGCAATAATGGATTGAGATGCAAGAAAAATGCTGCGTTAACCATTGTGCACCTAAAAAGCTTAAGCGACCTACGACATGCTGCGTATGTAGGAGGACATACCTAATTCTCTGTGCTACTGGAGTGATGCTCTCTCGAGCGGCTCGAATCCTGTTTATGATTTCTATATCATCAACCAGTGATGAACTCTATATTCTATATAGATGTGGAACGCCCGCCCCTAAAGAATGAGCTACTCACTCTTGAGTATCTAATCACTTAAGAGTGAGTGGTACTCGTGCGCCAGGAGTGTAGCCGATCGGCGGCATCTCCTTTCAAATACCAACTCGTGTACATTGTAAAGTCGCCTGCACGAAATCGCCCGGGTTGTTGTAGGCTGAACGCACGCGAGCGTGTCTGCAACGCGGCTGCCGAATACGGGCGCAGGGCCCGGCACAGATGGTTTGGGGTCAAACTGGACTTCGTTTTTGAAGTTCGAAGCAAGGGGATATCGTTTTTATAAGGTCCTGGAGGAAGCGCCAAAAAATGACGAACATGTCAGGTTTTACGAGTTGAACGTGTTCTTTCGCAAGCGCGCGAATTTCAAACGCAAGGCTCAAACAAACAAATGGATGTTATCGCACAAACAATCACATAGTTCCGAATTTGGGCTATGTGTATACAATATTACTCCAAAATTTGTTATGTAAAAAGTTAAAACTTATGTGTCCTAATATCGGTTCCCGAATTTATTGGTTTCTAGACCAACACCAAACCAACTGGGTTGGTTCGGAGCATAAATATCGGAAAGTTTACATAAGTTGTGGACCTTTTTGATTTACACGATTAGAACGGTCAAAAATCTATCGTATAGTCAAGACAGCGAATGAAAACATTGCCTCTCCTCTTTTTTTGAACCAAAAGTAGGTGTAATTCTACGCGTTGATAGATATCGCGTTCCAATCACATGCGGATATCGCGCTCCAATCACATGCGGTGTCCTTTGAACTATGTGGCGAAAAATGCATCGCCGGATTCTTGAGGCCACAGATTTGGTTGGCCTAGGAGGTTTTCGACATTCCGAGCTAAATGGTATATATCCAATGGCAGGACCTTTAGTCGACTCGAAATGTTTTCTTTCTGCTTTCTTGCTATACTAGGTACTCAAAAGGCGCTTTTTTCGCTAATTATCGTTATTTTGGTAGAATAAGGGCTTTCTTACTGATTTTAAGGCCGAGAGGAACTTCGTAGATTTTTGCGAAGTCATAGAGACTTTGTTTCCAAAAAAACCAACGCGTGCCGGGTCCTGTACGGGCGCTATGATGACTCATGCGCGCGAATGCCAATGTTAGCCTGCAAGAGACACGCGCGCGGGTGCTCATTCCGGGCGGTTCCGTGCAGTCAATTATACCCTGTACACGATTCAGCCCCTCCTTCCTTCGTATATAAGGACCTCCGAATGTATTAGAGGTTCCCCGGTTCACACCGGAATACCTCGATATTCTCTGTCCAAATCTATGTCACGTGCGAATAAACCTTATTTCTAACTACTCGTCTACCCTATCACTTGGTACATTCCAAATCCCGACTGCCCCGCTTGGTCTTGCACAGCATTCGCGAACGTGCCTTCTGACCACCTCCCCAAGGCTGATCAACGACTGAAGCTCGCCTTTAGGCGCTTCCCCACGTTCATGCGTAGGAAAGGATCAGAAGACACATTCGCGAACGCGGTGCAGTGCCCAAGCGAGGCGATCACGTGGGATCTGAGCCGCTGAGAAGAGGGTGCCGTCCTGTCGTCACGGGACGACCTGTAAGCCGTCCGCGCACAAGTGAGGTTAGTGGTGACAGGAACTCGCTTTCGAAACGCGTACGGAATCTGGAGGTCGCATTTTCCGAATGGACTCGGTGATTTGGGGGGAACACCGCTCCGATCCGCTGGCAGTGGGCTGGTGAGTGAGGCTGCAGCTGAGCTCGGGTCAACCAACCACCTTACCTGCAACAGTGCCGTGAGCCAGTCGTCAGTCAAGATTTTGTTATCTCCATAATTGATGAAGCTGTGAGAAGACCCAATATAATATTTGTCCAGCTGTAAAAGAGTAGACTACTTCCTTTTAAAAGACTTGAATACTAAATAATAATGATTTAATGTAACTTTCTGCGCAATTCACTGAAGTGCGCTTTTAGTACCTCTAGGCAGAAGGCAACTGCTCAGGTTTATAGGCAACGTTCGGGCAAAACTAGGGCGCTTACAGTGTCCATACGAAATGAGAACAGGACTTTTGTAGGAAGTCTAGTAGAGATTTTTCCCTGGTTTTTGACTTTGTACTTTTGGTCAGTTCGAACGTTTCCGTCATCAGGCAGTGCTCTAGCGCGACCGGCTTGCTCCAATGCAAATTTAGAAAGTGGTGCGCAAAGTGTTGAGACGAGCATCCAATTCTCACGCGCAATGCGATCGCACAGCCTCATTTAGCAATCAGTCCTTCGCAAAAATCCCATTTGAAGGGTACAGGTCAGGAGTCACAATTTCTCGCGAAGCGACGCCGACGCGACATCAAACAGTATAAAACTAGGCTTTCGCCAGTACCCCTGTCGCAATGTTACTTATGGGGTCGAGCCGTGTATCTGCCGCCACCCCCCCCCCCCCCCCGCTCTACTGTGGCGCCGTGCCACTCACCGGAGAGTTATAGGCCGTCCGCGCTGCGCACGGGGAGCAGCGCTGCTGCGTCCGTTGAAGATAGTTCATGGCGCAGAGAAAACAGGCGGCGAGAGTGCACGGGAAAAGAGGAGTGACGCGGAATACACACCTTGCGCACTCTCTGCACCCTGCGCGGACGCCCTATACTGTGAGGTACAAAATTTGGGCGCGGCGAACGACCACCGAGCGCTGTGCGACTCCTGACCCGGTGCCCATTTGAACATCCTGAAGCTTATTATGCAAAAAGGGCTGATCTCGGACAAGGTCAGGCGGTTTATTTAGCGAAATGGGCCGAATATAGCTCTCGAGCACTTTCCATTACCAGATCCGTCCGCCCACGAACGCTTCGCTTACACAGCAACCGCATTCATCTTGGATCAGCCTTATTCGAACCTTCACGTGTCATCGGTATTATGCAAATGTAGATAAAACTAACCGTTGGGACAAATTCACGCTCCAGCCATTCGGCCAACCTGACAGGAATTTCGCAGTCAATCATGATAAGAGAGGCGATCCTCGATGTTTTAAACAGATCAATCATCAACTGTGGGGTACACGTTATGGCATTTATGCCATGAAATATCATCCCATTGGTGATCATTCGATTCTGATCCAGGCTATTGATCATATGCTTGAGCTCGTTAGTGCGGAACGTGACCTAAAAATTTGACAACAGGCGCATTGTAGTGACTGTAAGCATCCAGCAGTGCCCTTTAAAGACAGCGTCCAGGCAGATTTGGACCTGGGGGGCTTTTACGTGGAAAGCATTTTTGGGGCCCTAAATAAGGCACTGCCCTAGCGGCAACTCAGGTAGTGCGCTGTTGGCTGAGATATTCCCCTCGAAACTGGCCCCCGCGAACGTATTCGCATGGATTCATGGCAGTTTCGCGCCAGGATCCACGCTTTGCGCCATGAATCCATGCGAAACACGGTCGCGGGGTCCAGTCGAGGGGAATTCAGCCATTACAGCACTACCTGAGCTGCCGCTTGGGCAGTGCCTTAGTTAGGGCCCCAAAAGTACTTTCCACGTAAAAGCCCCATAGGTCCAGATCTGCCTGGACGTTGCCTTTAATTCAACGAGATTGGCGGCTGGAACCGCTCGCGCCCGCGACGCAGTCTGCTTCTCCCTCGCGAAGTGCTTTCTGATCACTCCCTAGCCTTCATCAGGTACAAGCTCCGCCTTCCAGCCGCCAATCCAATTGAAAGGAGTACTTATCATCCACATCCTTAGCAGTCATATCGTGTGAATTCGTAGGTAAACGCTTACTCTGTGAAAGAGCATCTGCTCGATATAAGCATGTCTGTAAAAGACGTGATAATCTGATGAGAACGCTTTATAACAAAATGTCTATGGTTCAAATGAATTAGGGTTTGTAATCAATCCGATGCAACATTGATAATTCTCATTTGGGAACAGCTTAGTGCTCACATTTCTGGGCTTTCAAATGAGTAGGATTATTACTGTAGAGATGCCCCAAAATGTTACTCGCAAAAACTTAGTTGCCCTTCGTAAAAGAGAACGTATCTGTTTATTGAGAGAAGCTATGCGAAATCCGATCAACTCACGAATTCCTGGTGTTTTTGAAGCATGATAGAAGACGGAGCTGTGGTCTCAGCATTGAATAATTAGTCAGCGGACCAAGTCCGCTTTTGAAGAATTTTTTGAAACTTGCAGTCTTTTTTGCATATGACTTGGTCAAAATTTCGTTTTCGACTAAACTCGAGTTCGTCATATCATAGAGTCTGTCTCAGTTTTAATTAGTCCGAGATCGGGAGGGAGTCCGTGTCATGAGGGTATTGCGTCACGTCTACACTAGCTTGTCTCTCTCCTCATCTGCGCTCCCTCAAAAGAGCGCATACGCAGCGCAGCGCTACCCCCGAGCACTGCCAGCCGTAAATTTAGCCAACGGTTGTTGGGCCTGATCCCCATTGGGACAAACTGTATGTGCGAAGTGTGGGCCGTGATCATTGCTAGAACTGGTCGAAAGCTAGAGCTGCTCTATTCATCACTCACAGTTCTCATGAAATCTGAACGATTTTCATAAATTTTCCAAGTTTGTGCAAAATCCACTGAAAAGCTGCAAAATGTTCTCGCGAATGCAGAGCTCGTATAATACCCATCTGTGGTTGCGGGTTAAGCAGTATGTTTTTCCCAGTTTCTCGCACTAAGTTCTGAAAAACATAGTGCTTTGCGCATATGGATGTTTTGTGAAAGCTCAAATGCTGCGCCTCACGGATGACGACAAACTGAACTTAGGGTAAGCTAAGCCAGTGGTCAATGTTGATGCGCATACTTCTCAAACATCCACATGACCTCGCGTGATGGAATCATCACGCGAGGTCATGCGCAACTTATTAGAAACCTCATCTTCGATCGAAAGGGCAACTTTTCAGACTGTTTACCCTTAAGTGGCGCAGGAGAGGGGGGGGGGTATAGTGAAGCATGAGTCGCATGAGTCGCACGCTTTATTATATTGAGATAGGGAAATTATGTAACGGTTGAGGATTCGTTTGAGAATCACAAAAGTGGAAATATTTTTTCAAAAAAAAATTTGCAGCTCACTATTTTGTAGTTTAGAAACAAATGGTAGTGATGAGCAAGGTACTAAAATTTAACTTTGTTATCAGATGCCCATTTTTTGCTCAAAAAGCATGATTACACAGGTTTTCGTTTACATGACTGAATTGTTTCTTCTCAGACAATGCTAGATGAGAAAGGAATTGATAGCTGACCTGTTCCGATGACTCGAGCAGAGGTGCTGCTGCAATGTGAAAATAGAGGTGTCGTATTGTGAAGAGAGAATCAATCGATGTTACCGCTTACAGCTTCCAGCTTTTTTGGAGATAGCACTTGGAGGTTAGGGTTTTCATCAACATCGTCTAGATCGGACATCACTGGCACGATGATGAGTCATCAACTCTGTACGCCTGCAGCGGCATGTTACCGCTTACAGCTTCTAACTTTTTGCAGACTGCACTTTGGAGGTTGGGTTATCAACATCGCCTAGAGCGGACATCACTGGCATAGTGATGAGTCATCAACCCTGTACGCCTGCAGTGGCACGCAACGACAGACCTGTTGACATCTCACGAGGAGGGGGGGGGATGTTACAGAGAGACACCGTGCGCTTTATTATATAGAGAGATATACATTGTACATGTTAAACAATATCATATACTGGAGTAACGTACTTGGGAAATGATAACTCTTCTTAGTATTTCTTTACGACTGATGTCTCCACTACCACTAGTCCAAATTGCTTTGTTCTTATTGATCATCCTGTTCATTCTCCGACAGACAAAGCGAATGTAATAGAAGCACCACGGTTCATACTAAAAGTCATGTTTGAATACAGGGCTCATTAATTGCAGTGTCGGGTGCACCAGCATTACTTTCGCGCGGGACTTTGCAACTTTTCCGCGAACATGCTCTGTAATCATATCCGCCTTTCTTACGCTTGCGGTGGAACAGGGCTCAGCAAAGGTGGCGCATTCACAGGCTGGATGTCGTTCTTTCAAAGAAAAGCAAAAGGGAACTCGTAATGTTCCCAAAGTTCGTTTTCAGAAATCTGATCAATGTTAGCAAACAAAAATCTAACCCGTAGTAAGTAGGCCCTTACTGCAACTCCGACGTCGTTTCACCAGCAACAGATAGATTAACACATTGCAAACCTGCTAAGTGCTCAGACGTGTGTACACGTTTTCAACTTGTTAAAACATAATCTTTATGCACAAAAAAATTAAATGATAGTCATTTATTCTGTTTACAACCGGTAGGTAATATTGAGTCACCAACTTTGGTGTGTACATCCGCGGCGACGATTTAAAGGAAAGTATGAAAAATTATGAAAAAATTAAGCGAATAAAAGGAGCTGTAAGTGTTTTTCTAATTTAGGTTGCTCCTGCGCATCCTGGGAGCACCCCGAGCTTGCGCGGAACCTAGTCATAAATTTCTTCCTTCTTCACGTAATTTTCCAAAATTTTTCACATAAGTGTACTCTTCAATTCAAATTCTACATATGAATACTTACCATAACTCAAATTTCGTCTCTTATGTTTTGCTACGACCTTTTAAACTATTTAAAACCATATAAGGCATCGTCTAGGAAAATCGGGACCTAAGGGGATCGCCAGAAGATGATTTTAAGCTCCTAACTAAGACAATGCCCAAGCAACAACTCAGATGGTGCTGTCGCGGCTAAGATGCACTCAAGTCATTTCATATACCTAATTCCTATATTTCCTTGTTTCTCTCTTTTGAGATAAAATTCTTCTTAAGGTGATGTACAAGCTCAGACAGTTCGAGCGTGTAGCGCGCGGGCGTTGAAACGGTGGCGCAACACGCACACAGACAACCGCAAAAGACTTCCGGGGGACAGCGCCTATCTCTGGCATTCCCGGGCACGCTCTTAACCATTGCTGCCACGTGGTACGGGGCGACGGGGCGTCTGCTCGTGGTGACGTCACATAAGCCCGACACGGACTTCCGAGGAATTTGCGAATTCACCGGGGATTTCTAGGCGTACAGCATCTCCGGGGCACAATTAGTATCCAGCCAAGTCGTTATGCTGATACTCAGCCTATGCATTTTCAAAAATAGGCTGCTCTCGCTATCCTCGCGTTCTTTTCCGCTCTCCGTTCTTTCTTCTTTTTCATGTTCCTGGTCAGCCTTTTTGGTGTTTATGTTCTTTTAAGTTCCTTCTTTTCAGTTTCAGGTTCCGGTTTTTCGTGCGGATGTACCCAAACCGTCATTCTTGGTGTTCGGCTCTCGTTTTCGACTTGCTCAGATCGTTACTCCTCGCTCTTGCGTTCTTTTTCGCGCTTCCGTTTTGCCCATCGGCATTTATGGTGTTTATGTTAGTTTAAGCTCCTTCGCCTTAGGTTTTAAGTCCGAGGTTTTCGTGCCGATGCATTTTCAAACCATCGCTTTTGGTGTTCGGCTGGTTATTTATTGTAGTGGAACCTTCGAGTGCATGTCTATTGGCTGTCTAATGTGGATAGAGGTTTTTGTGTTTATGATGACCTTCCATTGGTCAGTATCATAATTTGGGGCATCTGATCTATGGAATATGTCTAAAATTACCCTAAAATCTTAAGATAAGTCCGCTTTTTTGACTCAGCCAGATAAGGCCCTTCAGATAGGTCCGCCCTACATATAAGTCCTTTTTCTCCATTATAACACCCTGAAATCTTGTCAGATAAGTGAGGACTGTCCGATAAGTCCGGACTTATCTGTGGAGGCCATATCTGTGAGATCTTAGGGTAATCTTTGGAGATTCCGATGATCCAAAATCTCTCTGAAACAAGTCTGAGCAAAACGGCTGGAACTAATAGAAAGAGTTTGATGAGATTTTTTGAATAAGTGTGAGGTTTTCAAAAAATTCTTGATGTGCTCGATTAATAGGGTGAGTAGAAGACAAAATGAGGTCTTCGAGCCAAGAGGAAGTTTCGGATGTTTTTCGGCGAGGGGGGGGGGAATTTCGGGGCAAGCTGTATATTGCCTGATAGGGCTGAAAAAGCTCTATCAGCCACTATATACAGTCGATTTCATCCTTGATTAGGCGAAACATTCTACGTGGAGCAGCGCGTGCGCATCGCTGGAGGCTTCGCGAGCGCACGGCGCTGGCA